GTGTGTACTTGTGAATGAAAAAGTGGTTATGTGATTTGTATTATTTGTAAGCTTAGATAATTCCACTGCTGTTTTGTTCTTTTATTGACATATTGCTTCCTGTTTCCTGTGTGACAGATTGATTTAATTTTTCTGTACTATATATCATTTATTTCAGTATTTCAAAAGATAAAGATATAGAAAAAAAATGGAATTTAACAATTCGGATATTTCGGATATTGACTCTCCTGAACCTCTTCTCAACAGTAATGAAGGAAATAATAATGAAGTCAATGAATCACAACAGCAAGCACAGCGGCATTACCAACAGAAAAAACGCAAGCCAAAATCAAAAGGTTGGAAAGATAAAGAAAACAAAAATAGAAATATATTAGATTATGTAGTAGAAACTGTAGAAGGTGTAGAAACTGATGTAACAAAACAAGCCAATACAAAAAATAATCAAAATAAGAATGTACATGAACATGAAAATGATGATGAAGAATATGAAGATAATAATCAAGGCAAAGATTTTGGTGTCAGTGTCGTATGGAATTTTTTCAAGAAGATAGATAAAAATTCTGCTCAATGTACAGCAAAAGAATGTTTAAAAATTCTTTCAACTCCAACGAGCACTACCTCTACATTAAAGCGGCATCTTAAAATGCACCCTGAAGAAAACAAGAAAATGTTAGAGCTTGAAGAAGAGAGAAAAAAGCTCAAATTAAAAAGACAAGCAAGTAATAAAAATAACGTTTTAATACAGTCTTCTTTACCTAATATTTTTCAAAAGAATACTTCTTATTTAAAGACTTCCTAAAAAAAAATGAAGTTGGATGAAGCAGTGGGGAAAATGATTGCCTTAGATTTTCAACCTTATTCTATTGTTGAAGATCGCGGTTTTAGAGAACTTACTTACGAGCTTGACCCAAGATATACACTTCCTTCTCGCAGTAAAATTGCAAGAAACATAGTGCCTAATTTGTATGAAAAAGTGAAAACTAGTATCAAAGAAATGATTGATAAAGATAAGTTAAATGTCGAATCATTATGTTTTATGACTGATCTATGGACATCACGAGCAGGGCATCATTATATTGCATTTAATTGCCAGTATATCAACAATGACTTCTTTCTTGTCAGCAAGACCTTAGGCTGTTACAATTTTCCAGCGCCTCATACAGCAAAAGCTATTTCAGATAAACTTGAAGACATGTTGTCAGAATGGAAAATGGATATTGAAATTCCATTATATACAGTTACTGATAACGCTGCTAACATGATTGCTGCGTTGTCCTCTTTAGATAATTTCAATCACTTGTTATGTGCTGATCATACTCTTCAACTATGTATAAGACATGCAAGAATTGGCTTAGAACTCGACAGGATATTAGAAAAATTACAGCGGATTGCAACAAGATATCATCGAAGTTCAAAAGTCCGCATGAGATTGGAATATTATCAACGCCTTTACAAATTACCTCTTCATGAGATGATTACAATGGTCAAAACACGTTGAAATACAGAATATCTGTTACTGAACCGATCGGTAGAACAAGAGAAAGCAATTGTTGCAGAGCGATATGAGGCGGGCAAGGATAATCTAACTTATACTGAATGGAATTTAGTAAAAACTAATTTCTTATTCTTTTCTATTTTGCTCCTTCTATAGTCATTATTGAGAAATTTTACTTTTTATTTGGTTTTTTAATAATTTTTAACAGTTTGTGATCGCATTTATTATTTTCTTTTTTTTTAAGTTCTCGGGTGAGGAGTGATAGGTGCCTTCAACCTTCAACCTAATCCTAAGGTTATATAGTATATATAGCACAGAGTCTCTGTTCCTTGTTTGTGACGTACTTATGCCCGGTTTCTTCACCGTCGGATAACTTTATCCTTAGGATAAACTCACTCTTCTAATAGAAAGAGACGAAGAGTGAGTTTATCCTAAGGATAAAGTTATCCGACGGTGAAGAAACCGGGCATTAGTCCTATTCGCTGAATTTCTTGTCCTCTATGATGGTCGCATTTATTTAAAACTGAAGGTTATAAAACAAAGAATTATTCTTTTGCAGATGTGACAATTATTTTAAAGCCTATTGCTGATGTCACTGCTCCTCTCGGCAGTTCAAATTTACCAACAGCTTCAATGTTGCTTCCAGTTATTTATAGTATTGAAACTGAACTCAATAAGTTTATTGATGCTAAAACCCAAGATAGTGCTGACACTAGCATAATATTTGCTCGAAATCTGTTAAAAGAAGTTCAAGATCGTTTCAGAGCTTATAAAAATGATGATGTGTACATTCTTGCTATGGCAGTCGATCCCAGATATAGATTGGCAATATTAACAGATCCTGCAGAAGTTGAATCAGCTACCAAGAAGTTGAAGAAAGAGGTTCATAAAGCATACCACAAATCAGTTAAAACAAACACAAGTACTCAAATTGCTTCAGATCCTAAATTAAATCAACCGCAAGTATCAGGATGTCAACAGTCTATGATAACCGAAAGTAGTACTGAAACTACTTCAGTTTGCCAGTCCTCATCAAATTCTGTTTGGGATGCGGTTCGAGAGAGATCCATTATTTACAATTTACGCTGTGATTTTATGGATATGCAGGAGATTTTAGACATAGAGGTAAATCGATATGTTAGTTGCAATTTTAATTTAATAAAAAAGTAAGACAAAATTTGAATTTATTAATTATAATGCTCTTTTATTTAAGTAATAGTTGAGTGTTTACCGTTATGACCGTTGCCATTTTGTTTAGTTTCTGGACTTAAGTCAAATAGATATAAAATTTCAATGATAACATTTTCAACTATGCATATGTTATTTAGCCCTTAGCTCTCATTTTATTCTAGGTTGATAGCTTTCTTCATACTAAAAATATTGATGTTTTTAATGATCCCACAAAGTGGTGGCGTGAGAATATCTCTACCTTTAGACACGTTGGGATTGTTGCACGGCATTATTTGGGGCTTGCGGCAACTGAAGTTTCGAGTGAAAGGCTTTTTTCACATGCAGGTGCAATAGTAACTAATCGTAGAAAAAATTTGACAACAGAGCATGTTGAGCAGTTGGTATTTCTCCATGACAATCTTTAATCTCTGATTCTAACTGTTTAGCTGGTTTAACATTCTTTTTTTTTACTTAAGATTAATATAAGTTACATGTTACATATGGTTTTTGTCATTTTTGGTATTCTCGGCTTTGATCCTTATTTCTGAGTCTGACCTTACTTCTTATTTCAAGATTCTTATATAATAATTTTTAGATTGTACTTTATGTGTGTATGTGTATGCGATTTAAAAATATTTATATTTTTTTATACTATTCCTCTCTTCCTTATAATTTCTAATTTTAAGAGACAGTAAATTTGCGCAGTTATTATATATTCACTAAAGTTTTTTAATTAACGTCACAATTTTAAGTCGTAACATTAATTTATTTTACATGTATTTTTTGTTTTAAAAAAATTTCTTTATGATTTTTTGTGAAATTTCAAGCAATAAACACGTACAACTTTTATTGTAATATTATTCATTTTGCAGTTTTTGGTTTCAAATTTAGAAAAACGTAAAATCGAAACATTGTAAAAGTAAGAGCGTTTGAGTTTTAATAAAATTCCATTTGTATTATAAACAATACATAAATTTAGCTAACATTGCCCTGACCCTGACGTCCCTGACTCCTCTCTTGGCAGTTCTGATTTTTCATGATCTTTTATTTTATAATATTTTAAAAGTTTCTTACTGTGTGTGTTCTTGATTTAATTTATTATTTAAATCAAGGATATCCGAAATTATGCAAAATTAGAATCAGTATCTGTTTCAATATAGTAAATATAGTTCTCTGTTTGATCATATTTTAAACATGAAGTTAAGATTTCTATTACATCTAAATAGTAAAATATTTTAAATCTGCCTAAAGTTTCATTGAATAAGATAAAAGTTGAATGTATTAACGTAAAGCTTAAAATATGTTAAGTTTGAATTCGTGGTTTGGTTCGGATTCGAGTTCGAATTCGAGTTCGAATTCGAGTTCAAAGCTTATAAAGAAAAGTTCGAGTTCGGATTCGAGTTCGAATTCAAGTTC